AGAATTCGGGAGAAGTCTAAAGCGGCAATTTGTTCCTTGTAGTCTTTCCATGAAGAGGCTACCCATGAAAAATGGGAAAGTTCGATGGGAACATGTCCCTAATTCCCTAAGGGAAACACCACACCGGGAGAGTTCTATGGGAAAATGTCCCTTGGAGTTTCCCGCGGAAAGAGCTAGCCATGAAAATCAAATCCAGGCGGAGAGGCTGCGGAGCAGCTGCAACTGCGGCAAGCGGCGGAATGGAAAGAGATGAAGGAGTGGGTGGCTACGCTTTCTTTGTTTTTGATGTTTGTGTTTGGTTGTTGATTGGGTTGTTTAAGGGGTTTGGGTTGTTGTTTAAAGTGTTTTGCTTATTTCTAGCTGTTTAAGGTGTTTGAGTGTGTTTGATGTTTATCATTGTCATTTCGGTGTGTATCTAGTTCCGTATTGTTGTGTTTTTTTGCGGGACGGGGTTTTGCGTGGGATGAAGCATTCTGGGGGGGGAACCTCCAAGAAGTGTTTAAACTGGGAACGATGTCATTTCTTCGCAATCCTCAAAGTAGAAATGAAGGCAGTTTACGGCTTTACAGCTAGGAACTTTCAGTTGCGCCAATCTGAGTTTGAGCGGTGGGGCCACAGGATGGAGCAAGGTCTTTCAAGCACTCGGCTTACTTATTTTGAGCCGCAGGCATATTAGTGGGTCAAAAAGGACCTTCAAATGGGCCACATTGCTGCTTCCTTTTGTTCACAAAGCCGGGTCTTGAATTGATTGGCTTGATGCAATCCTGACAGGCCTCAGCAGTCAGCACCACCAACGCACGCGGCCAGCACAGCACAATCATCAGTCAGAGCTCTTTTACACGAAGAACCAAGATGTTACGCTGTTCCGATGAGCTCTAGCATGTATACCCCTTCAGTAAGGAACATATCTCTGAACTGCAAGTGTGTGCGCCTTGCAGTTGGCTGAAGTCTCCATAAATTCAGCATTGCAGCAGAACAACAAGGTGCATGCCTGTTTGCATTCAACGTGCGCTATGACCACAGTATTGGGTCATGAGTATCTGTGCCAACATCAGGCAAAGGGATGGGGCACAGTACTGCTTGGTTTTCCTTGATGGTTTCCTCTTTTCCATACGATCCTTAGGTCTGTATGAAACTGGTTTCCGTTGTGGCAAGTTCGGTACATAGCTGGCGCCGCCGATCTCACTTTGGCTCTCTCAGTTGGATGGCGAGGCACAGGTGGCGCTGCTCAAGAAGCAACGAGGGAAGCTGCCGCGCAGAGGCCGAGAGCTGCGGCGGCGCGGGGGGATAACGATGGGACCTTGGGGTGAGAGGGGGCAGCGCGGAGGGGAGGAGATTCCACAATGGTGACGCGCAGGCACACAGCCAGGGTTTTCCGAATGAGTATAATGTGTCTAAGAGAATTCTTGGTCATGTTGCATTGGTGCAGTCACGTGATCAACTCAAACTGCGACGCATGCTGTGGGAGCAACTGAGCTGGCAGTGCCGGAACCGATTCCATACGTGCCGGATCCCATTTCAACACATGGGGATCACAGAAAGAACCTTGCTTGCAAGCGGCGCAGTCGCTCAACTTCTTCCTGCTCCTTTGTAGGTCGAAAGCCTCAACATGTTTGCTCACCATTGAGGACTCAAACCGCTTGTGGACGATGCTGATGTTTTTGCTGCATACCACTTGTTGTTGATTGTCTTAGGATCCTAGGCACAGCCCAATGGCGTGATGATCGAGATGGGATGATGGCGATTGGCTTGAAGTTGCTAGGTGAGAGATGGAATGAGTTACACAGTTACGAATCGACCTCCGGTCTTCGTTAAAAGCCCTTTGCCTTGCATGGTCAAAATGCCTTTTCACTGGCAGTTTGGTAGGGCGGGGCATCAACGTCTGAAGGGCTTTGGACAGTGCAAAGATTCCTATGAAGGGCGGCAGGACCATGACCCGCGTTCTGGGAGGCTTTCAGCATTGTGTCACCAGGCAGCAAGGACGAGAAGCAGGAAGTGGCGCAAAAGATCCGGCAGATGCAAGAGGACATGCAGGTCGCTGGTGTCGACCTTGTGGCAGTGGTTGACATCAGAGAAGTGGCCGTTCCACCAAAACCCCTGCGAAGGGGTGCATGCACACTTTATTTGCAAGCACATACCAGCATATTATTGGGTCAAGATTCAACAGCCAGGAGACCGCAGATGTTCCACGTTTCCATTGACCAGGGCAACCCATGTTTGGGTTGCCCCCCTTTTCTTTTTTGATGCACAGCCAAATTCAAGCACACACCCCCGCACGCCCGCACGCCCGCACGCCCGCACGCCCGCACGCCCGCACGCCCGCACCCGCGCACACGCGCACAGTCGCACACGCACACACACGCACACACGCACACACACGCACACGCGCACGCGCGCACACACACACACACAGACACACACACACACACACACACACACACACACACACACACACACACACACACACACACACACACACACACACACACACACACACACACACACACACACACACACACACACACACACACACACACACACACACACACACACACACACACACACACACACACACACACACACACACACACACACACACACACACACACACACACACACACACACACACACACACACACACACACACACACACACACACACACACACACACACACACACACACACACACACACACACACACACACACACACACACACACACACACACACACACACACACACACACACACACACACACACACACACACACACACACACACACACACACACACACGCACATGGGAGTTTGGAGATGTTCCCCTTGTGAAACCAAAAGAAAAAGGAAATCACCCGGAGACCTGGAGGGGTCCCCATTTGGCTGGCAGGTGCGACACCTTGCGGAGCGCAAGGCCACGGGGGTCGAGGCCACGGGCTCAGGTTTCAATGTTGAAGCTGCGAGACCCGTGCTAGTTGTGGGTTTGCGAGGCGGCCTTTGTTTTGTTTTGGGCTTTCTTTTTGGAGGTCTTTAAGACTTTGTTTGTTCTGGGTGTCTTGTCTGGTTTTGTGTGTGTGTGTGGGTGTGTGTTTGGTTGTTTTGCTCGTTTGCTTGTTTTGTATATGTTTGATGCTCCGGTGGTTTGGGGTAGCCCACTCGTGCTACAGCCACTTGTGCTCAACAGGATGACAAGCTACAGGATCTCGGGAAGTTGTTGCGTTTTCTCGAACAATGTTCTAAGATCCTGAAGATGGGGATCCTTCTTAGTAAAACTCTTTGTTTTACAAGAAGCTAGGGACACACAGCCACTCATTGCAACCCGGCCGGGCTATCGCTCAGGCTCCAGTCGGTGAGGCAGGTCGGAGGGGAGGAAATGATTCAAAAGCTGGTGTTTTGGTGGACCTTGGTTTCGCAAAGGGGGGGAGAACAGCTCGCATGTCCAACCGCAGATTTGTAGATCGGCTAATTAATTGTCGCGCTGTTCCTTTTGCACTTTGGCCACGCATTCATGGACAGCAACGCTTGGGCCGGAACAGAGATCGCTCTTTGTGGCAACAATGTAGGTCAGGCTGTTGCCAGACGCGTGGAGGGAGTATCTATGTTTTCAGAATATGTTTCCCACCACGGTTGACTGGTATGAAGCTTATGTTTGGTACAATTTGCGGATGTGTCCAGTTCTTTCCATTGGTGCTGGACAGCACAATAGAGGGAGCGCATCACTTCGACAACGTTAGCAGTGTTTCAATCTTCTGTTGTAACTGGTCCTTTCGAGTAGTGCTGCTTAAACTGAGCCCAGGTTTGCCGAACCGACTCCAACAGTCAGAACAGACATTACCTTTGACCTTTTGACCCTTTGGTACAATGTTGATCCTGGTGCTGCTGTCATCTCAAGCTTCATCTTTTATGTGCCATCCATTGAACGAATGAGTCAAAACAGGTTGACCTTCCCTTCTAGTTTTTTGCACGGAGCGTGTCTGTGTGTGTGACATGCGTTTTGTCAGTCCTCGGATTCCATTCTAGAAGACCATCCCCTCCTGTAAACAGAGCGTTGAGCAGCGTTGGTTGATATTTTTGTTCCAAAAACACCACACCAAAATCAATGAATAGTACCAATCAGAAGGCCAGTCAGCGCTGGGGATGCCATTCCAATGTGCGGCAATGTCCGCCCTGGCCCAAGTCGGAAGGCCTCAATACCTTGTTCGGCTGGGTGAACGGTCCAGTTATTGCCAGGCAGCTTGCCATCCTTTGTGGTTTGAATATGGCTGCTCAAAAAACCATACCCAGAATGGAACCCTGGCAAGTGGAAGCATGGACCAACACCTGCATAACCTCGGCAGTTTAAAATTTTGAGCCACATCCATATTGTGTGCTGTCCTAACGGCATCCACCTGTCTGAAATGTCAACCCGCAATGACCGACGATCCTGCAGACCGACGACATGGACCTCTGAGACGCTGAGCCGTGCCCAACACGGGCTCCTTTGCTTCTCGTCGTGCGCTTTTGAAAGCGAAAAGCGCAGTTCGGGTCAGCCGGGGTTGGGGCTCAGTGGCTTGATCACGCTGAGAATCAAAAGATGCAAGGAGTCAAAGCAAGAGGGCGGAAATCTCGTAGTTGAGCAAATTGTAGCTAGGTTGCCTGGAGGAACAAACCAACATTTGATATCAATATCCTTTTCGCACAAAGCAAGGGCTGAATAAGACTTTCATTTGTTTCACCAGAGTGTCGGTTTTTGTTTGCGCATCTTGTGCGAGGTGGTATTTCGTTTGCATGTATGTCTCTCTGCATATTTTTCGCCGGCATCTTTTCTCGGCGCCAAGGGTCCGTACTGATATGAGCTTTTCCCATGTTGATTCCCTCTACCTCCCGAAGAACGAGCTTCATATCCAGGCTAGCAGGTCGTTTGGGCATTTTAGCCACCGGCAATGGAAAGAGCAGATCGTGAAAGGAGCCCCAACAAAACCTATGACCATGTGCGCAGCACAGGACTTGTGCGCGCACACCTGCAGGATGTCGTGGGCGTGGATGACTTGAAGCTCGATGAGGAGCGTCAAGTGGCACCGTAGCGCTTAGACCGGCAGTGAGTTCCGCTCTTTGCTTTGAGCTGCGCATGGGTTGTCACACAGCCTGCGCAACCAATGCGTGCATGCTGGCACGAGGAGAAGAAGTATGTTTGCGAGCAAGCACCACCAGTGTACTCATGCTGGCGCACATCGTGATCACGTTCACTGTCCTTGCGTGTTTGTTTGGCCTGTGCATGTGGCACATCCCGGAGTCCGTTTTTGCAGTTTCAACAATCGTGCACAGGGATTAGCCATGTAACAGTTTGCATTCACATTTCTGGTCGAGGGGCAGATTATTGGTTTTTCCATTCCGTGCAGTGCTCAAAATGAGTGCTTTGCTAGGGCAGAGCGCAATGTCTTCCCTCTTGTGCGGGCTGGTCACGGGGGCATAGCTTTCCCTTTCTTGAGTTCTCAAAAGCATTTTTCTACCAAGGAAACAAGCATATTTGAATATTTTCCAACAAGGAGACAAACTGGTGGAGCAGCTAAGACTACGGCACAGAAAAAGGGCGTGTATCTATGCCATGTTTAGAGCTTGGCAGGCATTGGGTGAACATGTATCATCAATTGTTATGGGTCTGCCATTTTTGCTCAAGACTGAGCCAAACTGGCAGACACCTTTTTGGTTTCGGTTATCATTACTACTGGAGTGGGACTCTGGTATGTCTGGCGCTGATGCAGGCCCCTTGGTGGCCCGCCCTCCTGGACTTTGAGGCCCATTTGGCAGGACTATTAGCCCGTGGGGAACCGGAGCAGGCTGTCAAACTGTGGAAGGCCGTTGTGGTGGTGGCTCATTTCCCCCCAACCGAGGCTTCGGAGTTTCGCATCCACAGCCTTGGTTCGTTGCGGGAGGTCCCCTGTGTGGTTGCAGGGCGTGCTAGGTGCACGGAGCAGCGAGGCGGTTTCCAGTTCCCGTGGCTCGGGACATGGACCAAGCGCGCAGTCTTGGTTCAAGCAGAGGTGGGTCCTGCAGATGCTTGGGACCTCTACTATGCGGGCCGGGACTACTTGGAGGAGGATCAGCTTCGGGCCCTTGACTCGGGCATGCGGGTGCCGAGATTGGTCCCAGACCATAAGGCCCGCTTCATCAGCTTTGGCCGGCCTCGAGGATTGTGGCCTCGATCGGGAGGCCGTCTTTTGGGCTTGGCGACTCTTGGAGAGAGCCGGCATATGAGCCAATCCCCTCCGGCGACTGGGAGAGTCGCGATGGAGCCACGGCGTGGGCCGGGAAGGTTCTGGGCCAGTGCCTCGCTGGTTGTGCAGCGGGGGAACGAGTTTGTCCCCCCCCCTTGCATGCGTTGTGGGGCCCTCACGCGACACGTCGTTCACGAGCGGCCCATCTGCGAGGAATGCTTCAGCCATTTGGGATCCTTAGCGCCATGGCGGCTGTCCCGACCGGGATCTTGCTCGGCGGACGCCGGCGGGCAGTGGGCCGGAATCGGTCTGGGGGCGGTGGGCGCTCGGCACACTGCCAAGTGGAGGCGCGAGCAGCTGGAGATCGACGCGGGCTTTGCGTTCGCCTTTCGGTCCTTCGAGGAGGCGCTGGCGACCGGTGGCAGGGACCTGGCCAATGCTTGGGTGCTTGTTCGGAGAGAGCAAGAGTCCGAGCTGCTGCCGGCCGCGGAGGGTGACGGCTGTCCACCTTTTCGGCCTCTGGCCCCTCGACCTACGCGAGCAAGTTCAAGATGAGCCGGAGGCGATCGCGCTGCAGGTTCAGAGGCTTAGCGATGCACTGCAGGGCATGGGCGCGATGAAGCCGACGGGGACCCTGACCGAGCAGCTGCATCGTGAGTGGCGTGGTTCCTGCGCTCGGCTGGCACAGAGGTTGGTGACGGAGGCGGAGAGAGCGACGGTGATCAATGCGTTGCGCACGTGGGGTGAGGTGATCACCTTTATGCGTGCACGCTCCCGACCCCTGCCGCCAAAGCTGGTCGACCTCGATGTGTTCCTCCACAAAGGCACGGCCGCACCGGCCCGAGCTGCCCAAGCACTACATTGGTTGACCAAGCTCCCCGTCATATGGAGGCTGCCGTACTCACAGTTACGAGCTTTCTGTAGTGCTTTGGGAGTTGAAGTGCATTGGGGAACTTTTAAGGATGTTAGAGGCATCCCAACCGGAGTTGACCGGTGGCCCCCTCTAAGCACAGTCCAGGCAGGAGATGCATGGAAATCCAAAGCATTATCCCTCAGGTGATGAGGATTGTGACAGGCACGAGCAGTGCAGACTCTGAGTGATGAGGGAGGAAAAAGAGCAGGGGGTGCGTTGCAGCCTTGCAGTAGGAACGATACGTGACACATTGATGAATCAGTTGAAGGTCACAAGATGTATGTTGCACGGTCCCTCCACTTACATGAAACCTTGGTTTCCGAATTGCTCTTTGCCAGTTTGGAGCCAGCGCACTGGAGGATGTCCAGAACTTTCCCAGGTTTTGGCGTTTCTTGAGCCTTTGGCGCCTGATCTTGCTTGGCTCTTGAAAGCGTTGAGTTTCTTCTCGCTTTGCCTTCTGTTCATGAAAGGCAGCTAACTCCAAGCAAGGAGGGGCCCTAGTTGGAGGGGCCAACTACGGGCCCCCAGCTTGTCCATTGCAGTTGCTAGTTCCACAGGGACATGTGTTTGGAAGAGACCGCTGCTTTCGGCCCACATGTTTGGTGCTTGTTGCTTTCCACCTGGGCCGGCTGGCAAAGGCAAACCAATCAAGTAATAGATTCATCAGATGAACAAATGAAGCTTACGCTCATTTATCTTCAATATGTGCAAAACCCATGGCGCGAACTAGAACCGTGGTTTGCTCGATGTGTTCCTCCTTAGTTTTCTAGTGCCCATGCTTTCTTTTACCCAAACTAGTTTCCAAGTGTAGATGGTCAGTCGTTTTGCTCACTCATTTAGACTCCATTTATTTCCAGAACACATGGAGGAGGCTTTGATATTTCATATTTTGAACAATTGTTCGTCTCCATTTCCAGAGCACATGGCTTTACCACCAACTCTGCATCACGTTTAATGCTTATTGATAACCAACGTTTTACTCAACCATCCTTTACCACACATATTACGCGTAGCTGTCGTTTTAATAGTCTGACAACCTACGTTTTTCTTGGTATTTCTTCTCCGCTTTTGCCAGGGCATCAGTTTACCAATCATATTCTCACTCCAAATTCATGGACTATATTTTTGTGTTTCGACCATGGTGGTCAACAACTGGTTTAAACTTTCCATTTTGATGCAGTCAACCGCTTTCGATGAGGTGTGTGCTGTTTTTCCTAGGGCTGCTTTTTTCCCTCAGGTCTGGCTCCCTACCCATCCCCTTCCCCTGAGGACCCGCTGTCGGCGCTTGAGGGCCTTGACTTGGATCAGCTCTTTGTGGACGTGGACGAGGAGCGCCAGTGGCCAGTCAGATTCAGCCATCAAGGAAGGTTTTTTTGGGGGTGAGTGCTTCAAATGGGTGGTGTGGGCGGGGTTGGGGTGGGGGTGGGGTGGGGGGGGTGGGGTGGGTTGGGGTGGGGTGGGGTGGGGTGGGTGGGTGGGGGGGGGGGTGGGGTGGGGTGGGGTGGGGTGGGGTCGGGTCGGGTCGGGTGGGGTGTGGTTGGGTGGGGTTTGGTCGGGTCGGGTTCGTTGGGGTGGGGTGGGGTGGGGTGGGGTGGGGGGGGTGTGGTGGGGTGGGTTGGGGTGGGGTGGGGTGGGGTGGGGGGGGTGGGGTGGGGTGGGGTGGGGTGGGGGGTGGGTGGGGTGGGTGGGGTGGGGTGGGTGGGAGGGGGTTGGCCACATCCTTCTCGGACAATAGTTGTGGGGAGGAGGAGAAGGGGGGGGGGTGCGGCAACCATTGTTTGCCGGCCTGTCCCCTTGGGGAAGCAAAACATTTTGTCTGGGGAACATGACCAACCCCAATATTCCGACCGTCAGGCTGACCTTTTGTGGTTGAATCGGGCGTTCTGAGAGGTAGCCACGTCAATTTTCGCTGTGTCCCCAACACTGACATTGAATCTTGGAAAGGGTTTTCTCATGTCTTCCCATTGGGGGAGTGTGCCCAATGTCATCCTCTTGCAGTACGTCAGGGTAACCAATTGGGCATGCCTGATTGGTATACATGTTGAAGGACAGTCAACGTGAAACCAGGCATTTGGAGGAGTTCCTGCTTCTGACACATACCCAATTCTGTACTGCTATTTGATTAATTACACATACATTTGATGTCCATGCGAAAAGAGGTACGGACAGCACATTTTCGCAGTGGAACTTGATTTGTGTGCGTGCAATGTGTTAAGACACACTTCGCTCGGCCTTCGGGATGTACCAGGATTCTGGAAGATGATAAACGCTATTTGCCACAACATATGTCTACTCTTTATCAGCTTATTGGCATGAGGGAACCATACGGCACCTTCCTGCTTTGGAGCTTTCACCTTTCAGAGGGGGGCCGCCTCGCATTTCTTGCCTCGTCAAACTTGAATAGGTGACTCTGGCGAAACAGCTTGTGAGTGCATCGTGCCCCCTATCAAGACAGTGGCTCATTCCCAAGGGTTCATCAGGCAGGCGACTTGCATTGGTTGACGGCATGCCCTCGCACAAACATGGAGGAGAGACACAGGTGCCAATAGATGCCGAACACGCTGCACGATATTTTTCAAGACGGTACCTTTCAGCTTTCACTGTCAAGGCCAGCCGATCCCCTGAATGTCTTTCGCAGGGAACACTAGTGCCATCTAGTGCCCTTCAATCAAGAATGTGTCAAAAGTCAACAGTAGGGAGCCCTCAACCAGTTGGATTCATGGCGAATTCCTTGCAACGGGCCCAAGCCGGTTTCTGGGCCCCTGTGTTGCCAACCCAAAGGACATCTTCCTTTGGCTTGCGGGAAGCAAACACCAATGGCATTGGTGCCAGGATGTGCCTTTGGCCTCAATTGGCCTGGGGCCTCATTTTGGAGCAAAGGACATTTGAAGGGCCATGCTGAGTCGCTGACAAAATCATTCGTCTAATGTTAGTTTGGGAGAAAAAGGAGGGCCTGTGCCAGCCGGCCCCGAGTTTCAAGCAGAACATGGGTTGCAGCAAGACCACCCGAGTTTCCCGTTGCAAAATTTGTTCCGGGCTCGCGTTGACATGAGGACACCTTGCCTTGAAGCGTGAAGTGCCGTGGCTCAGCTGCCGAATACCAAGATATCATCCGCAACGTGTTTGTTTTCCTGTTGCACAACACCAGGTTTGTTGTGCTCCAGCGCCCTTGCCGCAGACCGTGTTTGGAAGCGTTGTGTGGGGAACGTGTTTAGTTTTCCCCCCTTTTGGGGAACTTAAGACATGGCAATCGGTCTTTGGCTGCAAAGGGTTAGCCGCTGCCCCCCAGATGCTTGTAGAGAGGCAGGCAACGTCAGTCCTGTCATTCAGTAGGCAGTCGACAGCTTTAAACGCGCTTCTTCAGCTCAATACCTGACTGGTACTTGATTTTTGGTTGTTGGCCCTCACATACTTTAGTTGTTTCGCCACTTGCCCGATTCAGTTGCCATTGGAATGAGGGTGGGCCTTCTCCTCTAGCCCCCCAAAAAAGCGAGGGCACACTGTCTGCTTTGCTGACCGTGCTCACGAAAGTGCCCTGAGTGGAAAGTCGCCGAAATCATCAGCTAGCTATCTTGTGTGCTCTCCGTTGCTTTCTGTTGCCAACACTGGTGCTATGCGGCATAGCAGATTGGGATGTCCGCAAAGCTCTCTGCTGAGCACTCCATTTGATGTCCTGCTCCCAGTTCAGTTGTTGAGTGACACCCTGTTCCATCATCTTCCTTGTTGGGTTTCCCAAAATGTCTGCTAGGGTCTCTGGGGAGTTTGCTGAGGTGCTTGGGAACCCACGGTGGACTTCGTGTGGGAGTTCCCGGAGGAGAGTTGAGAGGCGAAAATTTCGGGGGGGCGGCAAGGAGGCAACCACAACAAGTACTTCAAAACGAAGCAGGGTGAAAGTCGATGGCACAATCTCCTTAGTTTGGTTACGCAAAGAGGACGACTAAACCGAAATAGGGAATTGTGCAATCCAATCTTTTGCAGAACATCATGATCAGAAGACAAGCATGCTTCATATAGCCCCTTGCGTTTTAATGAATGATGGCTTGGGTATCCCCAACACGCTTGCTTGCTTGCTTGGAATCAATCTTGACACACACTTTTTTGCCGTAATACAGTACTCTGTCTGAGTCAGACCACGCATGCGTTTGCTGTGCAGTTCTGAGCGAGCATGGCCACGCTTGGCCTACTTGGCTAGTTTGCTTTAGCAGAGAGAGAGAGAGAGAGATAGCGAGAGAGCGGAACAGATATGAAGAGATATGAAGAGATATGAGGAGATATGAAGATATATGAAGAGATATGAAGAGATATGAAGTTGAGGCTAACCGCCGTCTGCTTTGAACATGTTTGCTATGCCGACTCGGGACCAACTTGTGTTCAGTCGCTATTAATCGGGCTTGTATCTTTTGCATATTCCGGCACCAACCAGCACGTAATATTCTGTTCGGTTACCTGTTTTGCTTGCTCGGTAAGAGAAAACCCAGCGACTAAAACACAGTAGTCTGCCGGCACCGAGTTGCTGCCAAAAGCGCAGTCCACACTTTTGGAGAATCAATTAATGATGTGTTGAGGGATCAAGAGGCCTGGACTCATGCATTTGCGTTTGAGACAGGCTCCTGACAGCCCAAAGCGGCTCAGGCATTCACGAGTGAGGATAACACTGGCCTTTCCTTCCTTCGTGTTGGAATGTCATGGTTGAATCTGGGCGTCGCTGGGTAGGGTGCGGTCCTAATGGAGCTCGCTTCAGCAAGTTCGTATCTTCCATACGGCTCGGGGGTTCATGGCTCAAAGTTCCCGGGGAGTGTCCATGGCTCCCATCTCGGCCCCTGGAAGCTGGCACCTGGATAGGGCAAGCACTCCCTGGATGTCTTTGTGCCCAGCAAAAGCGCTGAAGAAGCACGGCCGCGGGTTAAATGCCTCTAGTCTGATCGTGTACCTACCCTAAACCGGCCTTAGCATCTTGTTGGCTCAGCTCAGCAGCTTGGCCGTGCCAGGAGGGCCAGGGCCAGGAGGGCCAGGAGGGCCATGGCGAAGGCCGGAGCTTTGTTGGCGGGCCATGTCTCTGGTCCGATTTGCCAACCAGTCGAATGGTCTTGCGTCTTGAACAGCTGAGTCGACTTGCTCCCCTTCCTTTTTTTTGGCGCCCCTCTTGGCTTAGTGTCTGACAATCCAGGCGGGCATTTGCAGAAAGGTGGAAACTAGCATGGCTGGATCAATGGGAAGGGACTCAGATGTAGTCCAAGTGCCGTTGAACAACGCGCGACCAAACATCAACCAAGGCAAGCCACGAAAGGAATCGCTTTATTGCAAAAACAACCGACGATTGCAATATGGCACCAGCCACAAGGACTATCCTAGCATGTTAGTTGGTGAGGCACATTTTCTTGGATATCCAATGGGTCTTGCGCACGGCATAAACAAAGTTGCGGCGCAAGGCCTGCCAGCGAATCCTGGGTCAAAGACATGCTGAGAGAGGCTTCACCATAGTCAGCCAGTATCCAGGATGGCGGCGGCAGATCAAGTAGTTCTGTCGAAACATGAGCGACTTTGACCCACTTTCAAAGTTCAGAGCCAAAGGGAATTTCGAACACTGGACCAGATTGGACAGCAGCTGATTCCAGCACAGGGATTGGCGAAAGACTGCTGGGCCTCCACAATGTCAGAAAGCAATGGCCCATGAAACCACCCGTGGCTTCCTTTCTTGCACAAATCACAATTCGCACTATCAAAAACATGAGTGAAGGGAAATGCAACTACGAAAGCTGACGCTTGCGCCGTGTTTCATTTGCACACTTTTGGTGGCCGCAGCACGCCGCCACAAAAAGCTTGGAGAGGCTAAGACACGTTCAGCAACACTTCGGGCACGTTCAGCATTCTGCATTGGCCCCTGGTGCCCAGAAACTGTGATCACACCATCCGGGGTTCAAGAGGCGTCCGTAGGCCCTGCGTGCCGACAGGGGGATATCCGATTGAGAGAGCGCCATGTGATCAATGTCCATGGATCACTTAGGGGCTAGAGGCACTAGAGGAAGCCAACCTTTTGAGGGCGCTCAGAGATCTCTTGGGAGGCCTTTGCTGCCAGCCACTTTCCGCGGAGCAGCAGATTCTTTGCTCCAACGGCCGGGCGGGTTGCTTTGAGCCGCCAAGACTGTGCGGGACAATGGGTAAGCCTGCGAATCAAGCATGGGTGGGTTCTTTTGTGTTCACGGTTGCATTCCTTGGATTCCACTAGTGGAGCTTAGTGAATCTGTCCAGTTCGCCAACACCTGCAATAGTAATTAGGGACTTTGCAAGCATTTTTTTGCAATTTGAATCTTATCACACATAATGGTATGAGGTACCTTATTGGACTGGCCCATACTCTTCTTGGACATGCCGTTTTGGCAATATTCAACAGCAGCCGCAGCTGCCACTGCTGCTGCTACTGCTGCTGCCTCTATTTGGGACAATAGTCGCGACTGCTATATGTTTGTTGATTTGGTACTGTAAGCAAGCGCAAGCTTGGTAGCTTGTGCGTCAAACCCATAGGTACCAAAAGCTGTGCACCCGCAGCCACGTTCGGTGTTACCAGTTGGGCCAAATTGAAAACTGTTTCGGGTAGATGGAGATTAGTAGCCGTCTCAAGCTGTCCCAACGAGAATTTGGTGCGGCGGTTTGGATTCTTTACATGGGTAGGCTTCCTGTGACAGCTCAAGTTGTTGTGTAAGGGTTGAGGTGAAATATGCTCACTGGCCAATGACGACCAGTAGATAGACGTCCATGCTCCAACTGTCCAGTTTATGTTGTCGGATGGTACGTAATGATAGTGTGTTGCGATTGAATACTGGTGCACGGTCTTGCTGTTGCTGCTCGCTTATAAAGCAGATTCCGCCCCCATTGGCACTGTTGCTGCTTTTCAGCCCCGGCATCAAAGCACCTTATTTCTCGACGTAGAGAGCCTGGCTTCGACTCACGTGCTTCCTGGCTCGCTGCTGCGGCTTTGATGTGGGAAGGACCCTCTTTTTGTGAGCACTTAAAGGGGTGTCCAAATGAGGGGCTTCCTTTTGCACCCCCTGGATAAGAAGGCACAAGGCGGCACCGGGGTCCAAAACGGGGCCATGGCTTTGTCATCGCACAGCCCTTGAACCCACCTTTGGAGTTGAGCTTCCTGTTGCAGGTCAGCGCACCGAGCAAGGTAGGAAAGTTATGTACGGAGATCACCCGTGCCCAACTTGCGATATTCCTTGCGTCAGCTTTGCTTTTCTTTGGCTATAGTATAATGTGTATATGTTATGTCAATGTCGTTCTTTTCGGGGTAAGATTCTTGTCAAATGCTTTGGCGGCATCTGATTTCGGACAGGCACTGCCTCACCCTTCGCGGGACGGCCATCAGACGAGCATCGTGTGCTGATCACAACGCGCCTGCCAGAGAGGTGAAGAGGTCCGCGCTTACCTTCTGTTTCTTGCTGAAACTATTGTTCGCGTTTGTCCACCGTTGCAGGTTACCCTAGCTGACCTGCAGGTCTAGGAGACTGAAGGTCACAGCGATTTCCCTCTGCAGGTACGCTACTCAGCACGTGCACGAGTTTGCCCGCTTCTCTTTGTCTCTCAACGCAGCTTGGCACTGTTGATAATTCAGCCCTTTTCAGAGCGCAGCGCTTGGTGATCAGTTCTGGGCATTCCTGTGTGTGTGTGTGTTGTGTGTGTGTGCGCGTACCGTGTACAGTAATTGCGGCGTTTGCGTGTGCGCTTATGTGTGTGTGTGGGTGGGTGCGTGCATGCGTGCTTGCGCGGGTGCACACACGTGTCCGTGCAGATTGTCACATTCAGCAACAAAGCTTTTTCACCCGTCACAGCAACGAGAGACTCGCCTTCCTTGTTGGTTATGCCTGACTGAAATGACAAGGAGCATGCAGAGCTGCGGCTTCGTTCAACAGGGCATGTGCTAGCTTTGAATTATATCTATAGCACATCAATCTCTCAATGGGACTCCTTTGATCACACACTCGGTGCTACCCCGGTTGCTGCCTCTCACTGTGAGAGGCACCGGCTGAGGCGAACTGGGCTGCGCGCTTCGACCATTCTTTCGTCATCGATACCCGGGACAGAGCTACTGGAGGTGCGGAACTGGGAGCAGCCCCTGCAGGTCCTTGCTTGCCCCACTGCTCCAGTCAGTTGCGCCACCATCAAAACCCGGGTAGATGAAGGTTAGTAAGGGACAATCAAGCATAAATAGCTGCGGCCGCCTTTTTGATTCTTTATATGGAGCTGGGTAGACCATTCTAATACTTACCGGGTTTTGATTATGACTCAGTTGACTTGAGTTTTGTTCATCGATATGAAGGTTTGTGAAAAGTGCAAAGGCAGTGGTACAGGGAGCACAAGGGATGCATATGGGCTGAAAAAAATACCCCGCGCCTTTTCGTTATGTAAGGGGCCGTCCCTTAACTTGTTTCGCAGGCCAAAACCATTGTAAACCGATACAGAGGAAGACAAACCGATACCCCCAGAAGCCATGAAGACACACATCAGGTCCAAGTTGTTGTCGCAAGCCAAGAAAAATATCATAAATTTGCAGGGCCCAAACCGATACCCAAACCGATACCCAACCGATACCCAACTCAGTGGCCGCCACGCCGAATCTACTGCGCATACTACTGAAAAGTTGCGACTTTCCAGCTGGAGCTGCCAAAATGTACTTTGCGTACTACACTTGTACTGAAAAGTTGCGACTTTCCAGCTGGAGCTGGGAGCTGGCAGAGTGTACTTCGCATACTACACTTGTACGGAAAAGTCACGACTTTCGAGATAGAGCTGCCAAAACACTGCAAACCGATGCAGAGGAAAAAACGATACTGACCGATACTAGGGCATAAGGATACAAGGGTTGTCCACGGGGTTGTTTTTTCAACCCATATGCAAAGAAGCCCAACGACATCCAACGATTTGGCCCTTACAAACCTGCCATTGCAGGAGCGCTGGGCTTCAAGATGCCCCCAGCGTAGATCAAGGTTGCTCGTTGATCGTAGCACTGTTCAACACACAGTACCCAGCAATTGCGGCGGATGTTTGAGACGTGCCACCATGGCAGACAACTGTGCGGTTTGCATGTTGAAGTTTGTGCTTGCCGAATGCGCTGCTCCTGTGCAGAGGAGGTGTGCGCTATGGAATCCAATGCAAAGGACAACTCACTTATGATAGCAAGCTGAGACACCAGATTTTGAACCGCAGACGTCATCCGACGTTTTGATTGATCATTTGCGTTTGATGTTGCACAATCCCTGCATTGCTGAGGGACAAGTTGCGTGCATTCAGAGACCGTGCCTGTGAATGTATCTTGGGGCAACAGTTGACTTGGGAAAGTTACACAGCAGTCCTGAAGAGGGGATGGTTCTGTGAGGGGTTGAATGCCTCTGGCATTTGTTTGAGCTAGTGCACATGTTGGCGTCAAAACAGGAAGCGGACGATGCGTGTTCACACAGCGCAGAAGAGCGCCTCACCGCCCGCGCCGACGGATCAGTTCCAAAACCAAAACCCGGGCAAGTGGAGGGTAGCGGGGGCAAGCTCCCAATCAGAGCTGGCTTTGGTAGCTCCAATCAGTCTCCGGGTTTTGGTTAGGACTTAGTTGGCGGCTCAAGCCCCCGATCCGACAATGAAGCTGCTGCTGCTACAGCTGCCACTGGCCTGGTGCTTGCAGCACCAAAAGTCGGAAGGCGCGTGTGGCTGGTTGATCAATGAGTCAAGAGAAAAGCCGAGTCTACCGTTTAAGCGAGGCACTCCACCCGTCGATGGCGCCGTTGCCTTCAGCATGGCGCCCTCGCGAGATCTGCCTAAGCGCCTCGGTTAAGATCGGCTAAATCCCCTGGCCACTTTTACCAGGGCAAACTATTTGGTTTAAATTGTGATTATAGCCAAGCCTATCTGAGTAGAACCAAAAGTCAATGGTGTTTTGGGCTCTGCTCAAATGGAGTTGAGCGAAGCGCGTCCGGGGCGCGGGGGCGGGGGGGAGGGGGGGGCTCGAACAGCGAGCGGGCCATCCAAAATGCCCATTGCCAGTGACTTCGGCTTGTGTGGATTGGTTGGTGCCATCCAACCAGGTTTTGTTGCTTAATCTTATCTTTTCCTGGACTCACTCCGAAAGGCTCCATGCCATTCAAGCAACGAGGATATTGAAGCTACTCGCGACAACATGTTGCAGTGTGTCTACTGGGCCAAGCGGTTTGAAGCTTTTGGCCTCCGACATGTCAAACCGCCTTTCGAGAGGTGGTTTGCTGGGGTGGCCCGAATGATCCTCGGTTATGGTCATTGTATCGAGTTCGAATAGCGGGAACGGTTTGGTATCAACGCAATTGTTTGGCTCAAAGGGCATTGCTAGGGCATTCACTAGCAATTTAAGTTGAACCACTTAACACACATACCATAATCTTTCAACAGTCCAATCGGCATGAGGCCTGGGCTCACCAAAATGACACTGCGGCTTATATTGCATATTACTGCTAATGCAAGAGCATGCTCTTGAGCATCTTCCACCGTTTCGACACTCAGAGGCGAAACTGGCAATGAGGCCTTGGCCTGCTCGAGCACTGTCATGCCAGCTATGGAAGTACAAGAGCGGGTTTCACTGTCTGCCTCACATACTTCCAAACTTTCCCGCAACGTGCTTAAGCAGGCAGCAGGCAGGGAAGGTACGTAGGCAGGGAGGGAAGGCAGGTAGGCAGGCAGCTAAGAAAAAGTAGAAAGGACACAGTGACAGGATGCAACGCTATGTGTGATGTTGAAAGGATCCAGTCTATAATATATATATATATAACTGTGACATTGCTGCAATATGCTACTGGTGCTACGCTCAGCAGGGCTGCCTCTTTCCAGTTGCATCAACTTATTTCCGAGGTTACCCTAGCACCTTTGGGAAGATACCGTACCTGAAAGATCTGATTCCTGAAGGAGCCAGTTCCCAGGTGCAATGGAGGGTACCCCCTAAAAGACTTCCTACATTTCGCCAAGTCTCACTTGGCTGGCAGGAAGTTCACAGAGTTGGCGGATGTGCGCTTCAACGCCCTTCGTCTTGCAGTATGCCATGGTTTTCTTGGAGAAAGTGACTCGGGAAGTACTCACTAGGATTCTTTACCCCCATCCCTGCTCTGCTCTGCACTTCTCCTCCACGCCTTGTTTGTTTTCTTATGGTCTTGTCAATCAAGTCGACGCACCCCGTCAACCTCCACCGAACCCGGATGACATTTCACTCATAGTGAGCCTGCATGTGTAGCTATCAGTGGTCCTTAATGACCTTGAAGCCCACAAAGGGTTCAAGGCTCCTAGAGGGCAACCACTTTGAATGCTGCGTGCTCGACTGCTGGCAGTTCCCGGGTGGCTTATCGAAGGGAAGCGCTGGCTGGGCACATCCTTGCAAGGAGGCTGTGATTGAGTCCATTCCCAAAGGCCCTTTTCTTTGAAGGTTGGCAGCCTGAAAAATGTACAACCAATTACCCTCCCACTAACACAGCGCCTGTGGGAGGGTACCTGGAAGATAATTTTCCTCTTGTAGGGTTCCTCTGTCAGGTGCCACGTTCGTGGGAGTGAGGGGTATGTCCTTTCCAACGAGACTGCGCCATGCCCAGGGCACTAAGCTGGAATACATGCGCTGCGATCCCCGGGCGCCGCCGGGGGCGCAGAACGAGCGGTGCGTCCCCTTCAAGCAAGACGGGCAGGGGGAGCGGAGGGCCCGGATCGCACTTCAATGTTTTTGGCAACACCATGGCTCAATCGAGGTGTCCTGCCGCGCCCGCCAAGGGCCAAGGGCGAATCCGGAAGCCAAATGAGACGTCAAAGCAAGCTAGGGAGGGGCAAAGCCAAAGTCGCTTCTCAGCATGTTGACCCTTTGTCATGCTTGCACTTGGGCCAAAAGCCTGGTTTGGAAAATGTTTTGCTAGCCTTGGCGGCATACAGAAAAGTACGTCAGGACAAGCGCCCCCCATCTCGAGCATTCAGCTTGGCTGGATTTGCCTTTGCAGTGAAATCCACAATCCCACGCAGGCCATGCGAGCGGCTTTGAACGCACCTGTTTGAAGCCGCTGAAATACAGTCTTTCGAAACCGCTTGTAATGCTTGTGACGACGCGGTCGGGGCAACTCTGTTTCTCGTGACTAGTTCTTGCATTGTGTTTTGCATTGGTTTTTACCGTGTTTTCTTACCTGTAGCATCATTAGTGATTCGGACTCTTGTGACTGCAAGATTGAAGCCGCGGCAAAACATCCCAATTGCGCCAACACCATGTTAGTGGCAAACGACGAGGTCTTTTTTTGGCCAATCCACTCAGGAAGTGGATGTGAGCTTGCGTCATATGACCCGCCAAAATGGGGGGTCCTTATTTTTGAGGGTACCTTTTTTGGATGGTTTTAAAGGGAAACCAAAAGGAAAACCCACCTTCTTTTGTCTTTTGTTTTTGGGGGGGTCCCCTACAAAGACACGCCCAAACAGCAGCTGTCCTGTTGGTGGTCCGTTAAAGCAACCCCCTAAGTTCTATCCTCAGGAAAAACACACACACACACACACACGCACAGGAATATCCTTTAGCCACCCTGCTGTTTGAAGCCTTTCCTTTGGATTTGCTTTACCTGCCAGTGCAGTGGAAAGGCCCCCTAAAAGATCACCGACCTCCAGGAAACTCGATCAACTCTGGGCCCAAGGGGTCAAGGGCTGCCGGGGGGGTGCTGTGTGTTTCTTTCAACTGGGGCTGGTTTCCGAGAACTGTTTCTGTTTTGCGAACCTTCAGCATTTGTGGGTGCCTAATTATTATTGGTTCTTGTGAATCGTTGGTTTGCTGAGTTGCTCCCAAAGCAAAGCAAGCCTGAATCTTCAGCCTTAAGGGCCTAAGATAGAAGCAACATGCAAAAGACCCCTCCCCCCCACAGATAAAGGAAGAAACAATACCAAACTAATCCTGACCACCTGCATGAAAGCCAAGCGAAATCCAGTAACACACCAACCACATGACAACCTCTTCCTGATTTCGGACGATTCTGAAATCAATTCACCCCTCAGTTTCTTCGTTGCTGGGTTGGGTGGCTGGGTTGGTCGAGGGCAAGGTTTATGCAGTGTTTGGAGTTTGTTTGCGGCTGC